CCAATATTTACGTCAATAATTTGACTCTGACCAAACGGCGTCAGAGTCAAAATCGAAAAAAGTTGACGGAGAGGGTTGTATTGGAAAATTGTACAATTACAGGGGGGTAAATCGATGAAATTGAGCGTACGAGGGGGTAAAGTGATTCTCGGGCAGAGTACGAGGGGTAAAGTGGAATTTACCCTTAAAAATATATATTTTTTCTAGCTCCAATTTTCTTTTTTCTTTTTCTTTTTTTTTTTTTTTTTTATAATTTTAACCCCAAAATAATAGTTTACGTGTGGGCCAAATATGTCTGAAACGGGCCAATTTAATATGTATTTTACCCAGTCCGAAACACGAGGATTAAAAGTAGAATTCGATGAAACATGAGGGGTAAAGAAACAATTATATAATTCTCACATGTGTATCGTTCCTTTTCCTTTTCGATTTTTCTTCAAATAAGAACTCTTTTCACATTGGAATCTGTGGCCAAATAACACCTAATTCTCTGCGTCAAAGACAAACTCTCTTGACTCGGTTAAAGGTATAACGCTTACAGCCCGTGAGTTTTCCGTTTGTTTTTTTAATGTATTTTCTGCGTGAATTTTATTTTTTAACAGATCGCCGTTATCTGTTGAAACTATGAATTGAAACCTCTATCGATTTGTTTATTTGTTTTTGTTTGCATATATATATATATATATACATTTTTTTTTTATTTAATAAATACACGTTTGTTGCTTAAATTATGTACACTGTAGGAAAATTTTAATCTTTTACTTTCTAATGACATGTGATGTTTATTAGTTAGTAGAACATCGATAAACTAATACTCGATAAATTAATAAACTCACCTAAATAATAATTCCTTCTGGTCCCAACTCGATAAAAACGTACTAAATTATTAGTTCGATAATTTAATGTTGTGCTAATTAAAATTTTGCTAGTCCCGACTATATTAATTTATAGAGGTTTAACTGTATATATTTCTTCATTCTTAAACCTTTGAGTTCAAATTTTTTTAACCCATTCAAATATATATATAGTAGCATAACCTTATTATCAACTTGTTTGTGCTTAATTTAATGTTTTTTTTTGTGTTCCAATTAAGATATGGGGGTCAGAAAAATATTGAAACTGAAGTACGAGGACTTGGCGTGTTATACCGATAACTTTTCCGAGAGCAACTACCTGAGTCATTTCCAATTTGGCAATCTCTATCGTGGAAAAATTGTGCGCGATAATTGTACACTAAATGTGATGGTAAAGATATGGGAAGTCTCAGAAATATATGTTTTTTGGCCTGGAGATAATGAAGGCAGACTGGTGGTATGTTCTCATGCCCACCATACATTTCACATATATATTTCTTTTTTTCGCTATTTATAATTAATGAATATTGAAATTTATAATACTTTCTTTGTTGTATAGGATGAAGTCATGATGCTTCGCCCTGAAATACATCCCGGCATTGTAAAGATGTATGGATATTGCAACGAATATGATCATCTTGGTGTTGTTTATGAGTTTGAGCCTTTCGATTCGGTTTTTAACCTCATTCCTAAAGGTTTCAATTTTTCATTGTTTTGCAGTCATTTACTTTACCACACAAGGTGTTGTAGGTTTGCAGGCTATATTTGGTTAACTGAAACATTATCGTTTTAAAGATTTTTTTGTTATTATTAGTCCGTGACATCACTAAGTGCACTTGTCTCTTGGTTTGTGTGTAGAGGATTTCACTTGGCTGCAAATAATCAAAGTTGCGTTTGCGTTTGCATCCCTCCTCAAATTTCTGCACGCTCCAAAGTGTTCGTTTTACAAACCTTACATAGTCCGCAACCTTGATTGTGCTCATTTAGTTGTTGACAAGGTACAAGTGCTTTCAGTATTTGAATTAAATATCCGAATGCAGATAAACGCAATAATTTCAGTACATTGGTTTTTATGATGACAGGATTATAATCCTAAATCATGCGATTTCGGCTTGATCACCGGAGGAATTTTTCCCGATAGGACAATATATAAATGCCATCCCGTCACTGGAAGCTGTGGCTACATTGATTGTAATGCAATTGTTAGAGGTATTTTGACATCGGTTTGTTATTCTCTAAGCATTACCTACGCTAAGATCTGTTTACAGGTATTTTGACATTAAATAATATGCTTACAGGTGTACATTCGGAGACGCAAGATGTGTTTGCATTTGGGGTTATACTACTCAACTTGATATCGGAGAGAGTTTACAAGAGAGAAAACAGGGGTCTAAATGAATATGAAATTTACGAATGGGCCTGGAAAGAATATTTGTCCTTCAATTTACTTGAGCAAACGAGTGAGAGTGAGTGGCATACTATTAACTTTTCACTTGTCGACCAAAGTCTAACCGGGGAACCTGATTTTGATGCTGATGACGGGGAGAAACTTTCTGAGATGTTAATTGAATGTACACGAGCAGACCCATCTGACCGGCCTAATATTAAGCAAATTGTAAGATCTCTGCTTAAACTTAAAGTTGTGAAGAAAAATGCCGACTTTCTTGGACTGAAAAAGGTGCCACAAACAAGTGAAAACACCACCTTCTGATGTAGTAAGATCCCATTTGGTGTTTCGTGTCGATTACCTTGGTATTATTAAACCGATACTCCTCTTTAATTTAACCAACCACTAAGTTTAAGTATTGTTCTCAATTTTGGTGTTTTGGTGTACGTGCTATGTATTTCATATAATGTACAAATGTAGCATTGTAATATATATATATATATATATATATATATATATATATATATATATATATATATATATATATATATATATATATATATTATAAAAAAATATATATACTTTATTTTTTTTTATATTATATTATCATATTTACTTATAAAAGTATGAGTTAGGAGCTTCTTCCCTTTTTTTTGCATACGCCCCAACAAAATATAGCCTTTAGATATATGTTTCTCACGCTCCACCATATCGTCTGCCCCAATAAATTCCTAGCCACCATAGCCATCGAATAGAAATTGCTGCCCGGTGGGATTGCCACGTCATAACTAACCTTAACAGCCCCATGTGGAGGAGGCTGTCAGGCTATGGGATTAGGCCGTTCCTCCAAGGGAATGATAGGAGATCAAATAGCTTTAGCACCAAGGCACTAACTCATCAACTCTGAATCCGAAATCTCCATGGATGATATTATTCCGCAGCTCCCATAGCTTCCAGCACACCACCACCACAAGTAAAAAGTTGTCATTGCTCAAACTCATTTTTTGAAATCGTAGTCATGTCCAGAAGGATGGAGACCCTCCATTCAGCTTCAAGTTAAAAGGGGAACCAAGCCATAGCTGCAATATACTTCGTTAGTCAAGGACCACATGCATGCAAGATCGTTTCCGGTTGATCATTACATAAAATGCAAAATGGAGATTTTGAAAGGGTTAAACACCAATATACTATAACCAATGTCACATATAGGGGTGTAAATGAGTCGAGTCGAGTCGACAAAAGTTCATATAAATAATAAAATAAATAAATTACCGGTCATTTTTTTCAATTTTTTTTATTATAATTTTTAGTAATAAATTTCTAATAATATTAATAAAAAATTAACAAAAATTAAAAAAATACACAAAAATGGCTCAGGCTCCCGCTCGAGCTCGACAAGCTCGGCTAGCTCGAGCTCAAAAAACAATACTCGAAGAGCTCGAGCTCGTCAAAATAGATGCGAGCTCGAGCTCGCCAAAACAGCCAAGTTCGGCTCGAACTAAACTCGTTTACAACCCTTCACATATACCCCATGTACTATAAAATGCGAGAAAAAATGGCCCGTCAACTTAACGGTCGACCCACAAATCTCTAACACCGTTAGTTATGTAGCGTAGTTATTTTTTTACCCTTACATTTATATGATATAAAATATGCATTTTTGACTTTATTACTTGGACAAGATTTTTACTTTATTACGTAACACTCCGCTGACATCGGCAAGTGGTTCTAAAAAAATATGCATTGTAGTGTTTGGACGTAAAAAATTGAAATGCACGAATTTTGAGAATTAGAACTGCAAGAAGCATTTTCAATCGAGAATTTTTAGGCTGAAAGTTCAAATTTTTTTTCTTTTCAGAAATCTAAAAAGAATTTGAAAATATTATCCAAAATAAAAGAAAGTTATAAATTTTGGGTGATATTTTTAGGCTGGGAACATAATTACAAAATTTCATAAATATAAAATGAAATTATATATAATTTTCAGGATACAGGATACAGTTTTTTTCATAGAAATTTTGGTTGAAACTTTTAGGTTGTGGAAAATAAGATTAGGGCATACTTTTATGCACAACCATATAGGTATTTTCGTTGAAAATTATCCAACATCTATTACAATGGTCGATCAACTTAAGAAATATATTGATAGATTTTTTAACATAGTTTAACGGCAGATGCCATTTTATTGCATTTGATAGTACATTGTTGGGTGCTAAATACCTAACACGCAAGTGCACGTATCGCAAGCAAGTAGTAAAAGTGGACTCGTGAGAGTCGGATGTCGATCCCACAGAGAATACTCAAATTATCTAATCCTAAGTACCAAATTCTAACAATTATGATTTTTATTGAGCCTACGCAAAGTTGTTAAATAAATCAATAAAACAATTAAACTAATTATGAAAGCAAATAAACACTAGAAAATATCAATAAAAACGGACCTAGGATTTTATCTTTCCCCTATGCAAGAATTGCTCACCCAAAACCCCTCAATTATGAAATACATGATTCATGATTATTAACCCGAGACACTAATTTACTCATAACCCGCTGTCGCGTGTATTATGAGTCTATTATTCATAAACGATTCACTATATGTCTATGCAAACCAATTATAAATAAAGCATTAACTAACAAGTCTCGTAAATGGCTACTTAAGGTGATATCTGTATGTCTACGACACCACATGCAATTGACACACTCATCCGGTGAAAACTACTCGAAGGCTCTTCTACCTACCGTCTAATTATCAAAATAGCTCTGTCGAGTCAATCCCAATAATCACAGATAAAGCATATAAATTGATCAGGTTCATGCACTAACAATCATAACAAGGAGAAGAAATAATCATAAAATCATAATTGCATAATCTCAAGAAAACGGGTTCACCATCCCCACATAGGGTTCCGACAAAATCCTAGATTAAAAACTTAGCTCCTCGTAATTCTTATGATAAGCAAAATAGAATAAATAAAATAAATAAGAAAAACTATGCTTGAGTCTTCGTTGATCTTCGTTCTTCGCGTTTTGTGGTGTAAAATTTCGTGCTTATGGTGTAGAGACATGTTGCTTTTATAGGTTTTTCTTGATAAGGAAGTAGTAGAAACCTAATAGAAATCAATTTCCGCCACTTTCCCCCATCAGGACTTGTTCTTCGATTTTCGTCATGTTGGAGTCCGAATTTTGGAATATTTTGAAAATAAGAATTGTAGCCCTTGAAATTAGCTTTCCAATGCCGCCAAAATCACCTGATTCGGAGTTCGTATGAGAGAGATATGCTCGAAATCGTGGACACTGTCAAAGCTGTGGCGAGATTCCTTCTTCCAATTTGATTTGTTTCCTTATTTGCAACTTTTTCCTTTCTTTTTGATCTTTTTTCCTTCATGGACACCTAATTCTCGTTTTTCACCTATAAAACACAAAATCAATCAATTAAAGCACAAATATAATTAAATCTAAACAAAAGATCCACGTAAAGTAAACGTATTGAGTGTAAAATCTACACTCAACATACATACATGTGTCCAATTTGTATTTACCCACTTTAGAAATTGCACAATAATACAAGCATTTATTTCGCAGTTAATGTCATTATAATGAATCCAAGGGAAGCAGCCACATAACAAAATTCAAGGGACTTTAGTGATTAAGGATATTAGGAGTTAATTGTAAATACACCTCAGTGTAATTTCAATTGCCAAATACCCCCTTTGGAAAAAACTCACTAACGCCCCATATTTTAACAAAGTCAAGGCATCCCGACCTCTGGAGGTAAGCCGTGTCTCTGACTCGTGGTTTGTGCGATTTTTTATTCTATTTTTAGGGTGAAATGACATAAATATCCCATTATAAAAGGAAAAAAACCCAGATTGATTTAATTATAAATAACCTAAATTTATAGGACTTAATTGTAATTTTCAAAATGACAAAATAATAGTATAAGGGCTCGTTCGGTTACCGCAATAAGGTTCTACTGACTAAATAGTAGGGGCTAATAACATGTCCGGTTGGCAAGATTCACACTTTTTCAAACCCGCTACTAATATCAAAGCTCGCTATTAAATGCTACTATTTCATGAAATTAGTAGCACATCTCCCCCTGAGATTAATTTAATAGGGGTGACTAAAATGGAAAAATACAATTTAATCCTTAAAATCATATTTTGTTATTGTAAACTAAGTAGTTTTATAGAAAATTCATATATACTAACTGATTTTAATAAATTTAATAGAAAATCTAATCTAAGAAACCGAACATGCTACTAACTAAATAATTAATTAGTCAGTAGAGAGTTAATACAATCTCATGTAATACAATCTAATCCAATATAGGTAGCCGAACGAGCCCTAAGAATAAACCATTAGAAATTTATTGCTCATGTCATTTGTGTTTGACTTTGATATTCTAATTGTTGTTAATTTGATTTTTTTTTTGGGAATTGTGTCTGTGTATGTACAACCATATGTGTAGATCAATTATTTTCGATTTATTGTCACATGAGTTCCATGAACAGAGAAAGAATAAAAGTTGGTAAAGAGGACTGGAGAGGAATCTCAATAAATTATGTCAAAACTTGAACACCAACCTATACAGTCACATATTATATGCATTCATGTGTAGTTATGTATAGTCATATATAAGATGTGTAGATTTTTTAAGAATGTACAGTGATGTTAATAGTTGTTTGGTTGAAGAATTTACATATATGATTTGTGGATGTATATTGTAGGATACAAGTTGACTTGTTAACAAGATTCAAATTATGTTTTTTTTTTTTTAATGTAGATTGGATTTTTTTGCTAAATAATAGCCATTTTCTTATACAATTTGATACATATGACTGTATTACATTATATAATCGAAAATATATAATTTTAAGTTGAAAATGTAAAAACGGTAATATGAAGCAAGAATATGAGTATAGTTGACTATAGTCATATATAGTCACATATAGTCATATTTCAAGTAGTAAAATTTTCGGAAAAAAGATTCAGAAAAAAAAAAATTTAAAAATTAAATTTTATTTTTTGGTTTTTTAAATAAATAAAATTAGTAAAAAATAAAAAAAAAAATAAGAAAAGAAAAATATTGAATGCAATCTAAATAATGATATATGTTGATTTATGTAAAGAAAATATATTTTCGGTACAAAAAGTGCTAGAGGGATCTTCTTACAAATGATGAACTTTTAGGGGTGGACTTATTCTATTCATTGGCGGTTTGATGAACTTGTTGCTAAAGGCCTCAATATTATATTACCTTTTTGTTCTTTAATAAATGAGTATAATATGAAATTGATTTCATTTGGAAAATATGTCAAAAT